TGCATGTGTTCATTTCATATATATATATATATATAAAAATACATACACACATAAAATTCTCACTTCTGGGAAAGATTAATACTACATATATCTTAAGGCGCTAGAGGATATTTCCAGTGACTTTTAAGTGGAACTGGTTCTTATATTGTTGCACTCTTGCAACCTTATAATATGTAGCTTACTTAGAATTCACTCCTCCAACAGATGTGTGGTGTTATATTTACTAAAATATGTATCTAATTATGGTTGCTAAAGGTAAAACTTGCATTTATTTATATAGCATCATTTACAGCAGGAAGAATAAAACCATGTAACATAAGAATAATGTTTGATTATACAGCAGAGTCTTTTCTCAGGTTAATAACAAGCTCAGCATGACTGTATTTACTTTGGAGAAAAGGAATGAGATTTCATTTATACAGAACTGTATCTGGATAAATAAGCAACTGCTTCTCTCACCTTGGGTTTAGTTACCAATACAAGGCCTTTCCAGAGAAAAGGAAAGAACTTGGTAACAACATTGTTGAATATCTTGGCAATGTTTTTACCTCCTCAGCTCAAACACAGAATCCATGTAAGCTAGAACTTCCAAGAACAATCTACTCAACAGCGTGTAACTGTGTGGCCAAAAAAAAAAAGTCTTAATGCAAGCCACTTTATTTACAAGGCACATGAAAAACAGCTTACTCTGAGCATATGAGGAACTAAACCAGGAACCAGTCCCTTGCTTGGGTGCTTCAGTGAGTCTCCTCAGCCTGCACTGGCCTAGAATTCCTAAAGCTTTCTTTTGGTGAGGGCCTGTGCTCCACATAATTCAAACCTGTGAGCAGATGTGTACAGCACTGCTTTGAGTAGTGACAGCTCTTCAGTAGTGTCATTAACCTGATTATTAGTGTAGCTAATGAAAACATTAAACAAGCTTGCTGGAAATTTTTTCTTCAGCTTGTGGGAACCTGAAGCAGTGCAATCCACAATAAATCTCCCTAGTTACAAGAGTGTTGGCCTCTGGAAAGAAGGTAGCTACCAAAAAAACCCCATCAGTAAATACATTAGGCAGCAGGACCAAGTTTGAAGGCTTTAAGAGGCAGTCCCTTGTTCTCGTTGCTGTCAAAAGGTATTGAGAATGTTAACGCTGTAACCCCAAGTACAAAACAGGTGTTATGCAATGTCATAGTGAAGAGGTCTTTGTACTGCCTTTTTGGTTTTTTGTTTTTGTTTTTTTTTTTAATATGGCACAACTTCAATCTGACCAAAGTAACAATCTCCAAGCTTTTGGATGAGGCTGTGAAATATGTTCAGTCCTTTCTTTTTAGCATTTTTATTTTCCTTTGAACTACAGGAGCTGTGCAAGCATCTTAAATTTCAAGGTGCTTTTGAGCCTTTAATTTGACAATTGATTTCCTTTAAAACAGGTAGCAAGTGGGAGATAGAGTCATCTGCTCAGACTTGTTCACAACAGCACAGCTGTTCCTGTAGCAGCATCACTGCCGGGTGACAGTTTGGCAGGAGAGGAAAAGGCGATGTAAATCCATCGCTGCACCACCACTCGAGTCCTCCCTCAGGTTGACTGGTTCTATGTACCGACCACATGCAGTTCTCAACACTGACTGTACTTCTAGGAGCAGTGCCTTTAAGGAATAATTTTTTATGTGGTTTACCCTGTGCCCACACAGCCATCAAAATAACTCTCATAGTTTACAATGATGAGAGTTATCTTACTATATATTTTACATAGTTCTTATTTGACCAAAAGCCTCCTGGCCAGGCCTCACAGTTTTTTACATTGATGCAATAACATGTTTCCACATAAACGAACAGTGACACAGGGTATGAGAATGAAGTCTGGGAAATGAAATTGAAGTGACTGGTTCGAGTCACATGTCCGAACCTGGCAGTAGAGTTATTTCTGGTCCCGTTCCTCAGTCGCTGCTCCTGCTGCGGCAAGGCAGCAGCAACGGACAGCAGGTGTTTACTTCTTAAGGGTTCAATTATTATTCCAACTTTGTGATGACCTTTTTAACTCCAGTTCAGTCCTAAATGATTTCCTGGCTGTCAGGCAACTAAAGTTTTAAACGTCAGTGGTTACTTACTGCCTAGAAGGAATTTCCTGCATGAATTGCATGATACCAGTTTACAAACAAAGACATTTACATGTAATAAGAAACTTTTAAGTTTTCAGTTAGCATAAGGAAATGATGCACCTCAAATCTTACAGCACATCTAGTGCAACTCATACAAAAACATTTACAGACAAGTAGTGAAGGAAGGTGAAGCGTGTTCTTCAGTTTGAATGGCAACAAACTATTTGGTGCAAATGTCAGTCTCACTGTAACTTCCTTTGAAACATCGTTAGAGTTAGAACTACTAGTAAAGGTAGAGAAGCTGAAGAAAAATCTCTTGTTTAATTGCTTGACTGGCACTAGGCATTTGGCATATATTTATGGTGAGCAGATCTGTAGCTCCTCCTGAAGGAAATATAATGCTAAAATAAATACCAAAAATATGTAAAAGTCACTGGATTGAACAAAGCCTTTTCTAACACATGGTATTTATGTTAAAGCTTGAAATAGTAATACTCCGAGAAAAATATTGAGAAACATGGTTACAGATTAACAGAATTATTTAATTCTTTCAGACCAACAGGACAAACACTACACAGGTATTTCTGTAGTCTGATTTCTATATACAAGGATTCTTCATTTCTTCATAACAGCACTGAAGACTCTACTTGCAGGAAGTTTAGAGGTGAGGAATCTCCTGTATTGTAGAGCGAGACTATTGACAAAGTAACAGTCTTTGTATTATTTACTATACCATACTTACTCTTCTGTACTAGTAGCCTGGAAAAGTTTTTCCCTTCTCTGTTATAGGAAGGAGTACACAATATTTGATCTTTACACAATTCTACGTGCTCTTCTAGCATGTTTTATTAGATACTAAGATAATGAAGTTCTTACCAGTGGCTAGGCAGCTGTTCTCGTGACACAACCTGTTAGAGACTGCTCAGCTCTGTGGGGCTCTTCTCACACAAAAAAGATTCCCTGGATAAGATGAGCATTTTCATGATGGCGGGCATGTGCATGCTGGGCCCCTACATTAAACAAACTGTACTCAAGTATTTTATTTTTGCTTAATTCTGTAATGTTAACTGCATTCTCCTTTCTTCAAAAGGCAATTCCAACTGAATTGCTAATAATCACAAGCAAGCTCTGGGTAACTTCTACCTACATGAGAGTAGCGAGGGTAGAGTTAAAATTTTCTAAGGGTTAGGTGAACATTAATAATTTGTGCAGTGGAGCTTCACTATTGCTGTTCTGCCATGCTGAGCAGGTACTAAAGAGTTTTTAGCATTTGGAGGCACGTTCCTCCTTCGATCAAAGATCATTTAACAAGCAAGAGAAAAATCCTTCAATCAGTACAAAAGATTTATTTTTTAAGCATTCAGCTCAAATACATGTGATCAAGTCTCTTTGACCATAGAAAATAAGAATGTTCCAAGATATAATTTAAGTCAAGTTTTAGCCCACAGAGGATTTTCATTGCTAAACTTGAAACCCCTAGAAATCAGTTTAAGTACTGACACCACTGACAAGTGGTACGTACAGTGCCCTAAGGACGATTAAAAGAGAGTGTAACCTTCCATAGAAATGGCACCCTTAATTTGTACATCATGGAAAATTAAGTAAATTTACTGATGAAATAGTCAATCACACATGTATTGCAAGTTTACTTACTGTACAAGCACTGTTAACAGTCTTGTTTATGTGCTGTGTTTTGTCATTACTAGCCAAGATTTTTCAAATCTTGGGTGAAGTGTTTCTCCAGCTGAGTTCCCTAAACATTTTCCTTCCCCTCGATTTCTGTCCGCAAGCTACTGAAAACCCGAGGGAAACACCACAGATAAAATATACCAGCACAGTTACTAGTAACACCTTGGGCTAAGCAGCAGCATAACGATGGTCCTGGAAGCGGTACCGTAAACCCCGGGCTCCTGTAAGCATAGATAGTGTGGTGTAACACTAATTTGAAGTTGAGCCTGTGTTTAGTAGGTACGACGTAGACATCTTAAACAGGTCTGACCACGGGTGTAGCAAGGCTACGCAATTACCTCGTTAGAGCCAGAGCTCAGCACATTGATGTTTCCAGAAACGCCGACACCCTCAGCCTCCAGTTCCAGCAGCCAGGACAACTCTTTTTCCCCTACGCTACAGAATCTCTCGTACAGGACCTTTTGCCAAAGGAACTGGCAGAACACGGGTATCCTGCAGTCTCAGAGGGAAGGCATGGCAGAATTAGCAGATAAATACACAACTACCACCTTCCCCCTCTTCCTCGGGTGAATTTAGCCAATGCTGAAGAATGTTAATGCAAATGCTAGTGTTTAAAAAGGCAAAGTGTGTTGCCAGATACACTGGAATTCACAAATTACTGAAAATTCTTCTTGAGAACTGAGTTAAGAATGCACTTGACAATTATTGCATTTTTTCTTCTTTGGCTTTCAAATCTACATCTAATTTATCCTCAGCAACGGGCATGCTGTTGTGGGGAAATAACTAAGGAAGTGGTTCCTTTTCAGCAGGTACAATGGCAGGTCTACATTTCTAAACCTGCAGCTCAGCTAATAACTTCTGACCTTGAGGGCTACCGTGGTTCTGACTACAACCCTGTTGACTTGAAAGCCAAATCCACTGTGTCCTAAAAAACCCCCAAAACCTCTCCTCATAAATGGCAGAGTTGTGCATAGGTATTAGACCAAGAATCCATGCAAAATATGGCTCTGGTCATTTGGTTTTAAAATTCCAAGTTGCATACTCAGGTCAGCCGAGACACGACTGAGTCAGTTAACAAAGCTTTTCATGCCCTTTTGTTACTGAAGCCAGAAAGATGAAGGAAACTAACCTATAGTACTAGTGGCAGCTTCTCCTCGCTCCTGGGTGAGGGTACTCTTTGCTACAAGCATGCATACTGACAGGACTATTAAGGAAGTACATGTCAATGTATAGTCTTCAGCTTTATCCTTTATTACATACACAGCAAAGAAGGCAGCATTAAACACACGCGCCGTGTGTTACATCCATTCCACCCACAGCACACGCACGCGCACACACACAGCCTTTTAAAAAAAAGTGTCTGTGATAAGGAACATCTTATAAAGGTTGTGATCTTTATTTCTAAGCCCCTGAGCTTTTTCTTATAGTTAGGTGAAAAGGCAATGAACAAGTCTTTCCTTGCTCCATAAGTGCTTTGTGCAACGATGTCCTTAGAGGTCATAGAAAAGTCCTTTTGGGAGGAGCAACATGAACGTCTTACTCCCACGTTCTCATTTTTGCACCAAATAGTTTCCAGTTACGTGTAGTTGTCATACTCAGCTAATATAGCTCTTGCTCCTGTGAATAAAGTTAGGATCGGTTCTGCAGATCACAAACAAGATGCAGTCCCATCCTCCTCTCGAGAGATGTCATCTCGGCGATACTGTGGGACTAGAGAAGTTACCGGAATTTCGTGGGGACTGAAGAGGCACAGATGGAGAACTGGGAGACAGTTTTCGCGGGCTGCATAGGTCACCATTGTGCAACTTCCACAGAAGTTCTTCATTTTCCATTGACAGGCGTTTGTTTACTTTTGATTCTTTCTCCAGCGACTCCTGTAGAACAGCCTGCTCCGTAGAAAGTTGCCTGCAAATGTAAGATTTGCATCAGAGCGCAGCATAACCCAGGCTGGAGGCTGCAGCACTGAACTGAACTGTTAAAGGTTTGAAATGGCATAAACCCCTGCTTGGCTTACAACTAAATTACTTCCTTAAAGGAAGGATTGAGCACATTCTCATCCTTGCTGGATTTACTGTTAGCTTGCACGAAACAGGAGAAAACCCCAATAAGAAATAGCCCTAAAGGCCAGAAAAATCATCTGAAATGTGAGACTTATCCCGCTGACCATGGCAGATGCTTTTAAATGGCCACACTGGAGCCTCTGGGTGTTGTAGCAGGCTCAGCTCTACATTAAAGCTGCATTTCTGTAGCTTACCCTCCCACTTAAGCAACAGCTGAAGTTAGGAGAACCTCAGACCCATTTTATTTGCCCTAAATATTACTATTTCACTGCTCTAAATTGGGGACAAATGGCTCAACTGAAGTGGTTGTAAGTAAAACCAGGTTTAGCTCACAAACCACTAATACTTAAGAGCCAATCTATAATAAGATGGTATTTCTGAGTTGCTTTTTCTTCCCTGAAACATTGTTTTGAAGCACTGAAGAACATACTGAGCCTCTGTCCCGTTACAATCTGTTCCTGCTTGTTCTATGTCAGAATGGACATTTGTAGAGATCCAAGGAAGGAAGAAAGGAGCGTGTTCTTCTACAGAATACTACAGTCACTAATATTTACACAGAATTCTTGTCACAGCAACACCCTCTGCTGGTTCATAAGAACATCTATAAATACACAGGTATTTTTCACCTTGAAAGCTCCATGTGTTTGTCCATCCGAGCTTTTAATTCTTCATTTTCTTGCTGGATCTTCTTTAATTTATCCATTAAGATTGTGTTGTTCTCCAGCTTAGGAAAAAAAAGTCACAATTTAAAATAAAATCCACACGCGCACTCATCGAGATACTGACTCAGCTATCACAGACGTCCATAACCTACAGCTTACAGGTGTTGTTACAGTAAGGGCAAGAACCCAGACTAGCATGAGACTGACCTGCTCTCGTGCCTTAATATTCCGTGATAGTCAAACAGGTGCCACTTACCTTATCCCTGCGTAAGGCTGACATGTTGCCACGCGTGCTGGTCAGGTGCCAACACAGAAGGGCGGGGAAAGGGGTCCACCAGGTAACCAGCACATTCTAGTTACTTCTGCCAGCAATGAGCAGCAGTTTTAGAAGCTGCTGCAGGCAGAAGCTGTCTAGAAATAACATGCTAATGCAGCAACAAGAGCGTCCCTGCGCAAACAGTTCTCCCCATTGCTCTCCTGATGCCACTTCAGTGCTGCAGGATGTTACCAAAAGTTAGGGAACAGCAGTGGTTTAAATGCCTGGATGGGCCAAGGGCTTCAATACTGTGTCCAACTGTCAGTAAAGATCACAGAATCATAGAATGGCCTGGGCTGGAAGGGACCTTAGAGATCATTTTAATTTACTAGTAGTAGTAGGCCAGGGCAACATACAAATGCTGTACAATACTGAACAACTGACACCCATGTATTCCTTGTATCCAAACCTCTTTCTATACTTCCTCATTAAAATCTTGCTTAAGCAAGTGTTACAACAGTGTTGAAAGGCCCCACCCAGGATAAGGACCCTGTCCTGCCACAAACAGGAGCATGCTAAGGGAATTACTGGTTCTGCCCCCAAAATTGCCTTTTCACGTGAAATTATGCCCAGATCAGGAACATGCCCACACAGTTAAACAGCTTAAAGGTAACAGCTAAAATGATTGACTTAAGCTATTCAGCTCTAGATGAAAACATTTCTGCCATTTCACATTTGATTCCTTCTTGTTTAATTAGGGTAATTTCCACGTTAATGGCTTCCTGACAGTGCAATCTGTCTTCCGTAACGCTCAAGCAAACATAGCAGGTAAGGATTTTTTCTTTCGAGTACGGGGAAAAGAGGTTCCCAGATAACCCTGTACTAACTTAGCAATAGTTTATGCAAACCAGTACTTGTCTTAAAAGGTTGAAAGGTCATTTATGGCATCTGGCGATTCCTTTCCCCTCTATATCAGCCCAGTGTGGATACAATTGTAGCTGCAATGTGAGCGTGTCCCATCATTATTTCATGTCTCCTTTTGAACAAAAAAAATCCTCGCATGTTAAGTCTGACCAGTCCAAGTTCGTTATCGGAACATAACTCGGACACAGTCCAAACCCCAAGGAAAACTCACCAGTTTTTCCATCTTCATTAGCTTTATATCCTGCTGATGGAGTTTCTCATTCTTGATCTCCAGCACTGCTTTCAAACTTTCCAGCTCCTGTTCCAGATACATAATCTGCGGGTTTTTCTGAAAGATTTCCACACAGTTTGCTTAATGCCCTGAATTTCAGGTACAATTTAAGTGTTTCTCTGCTATTTATAAAGAGCAAGAAAATAAATATGGTAACAACAGTTACTTTTCTAAGTGAAGTAAAGTTTAACACTTTGGAATAAAATAAAAAAAATCTGTTACTCCTTTCTTCTCTGATTTTGTCTATCCTTTGGTATAGGTGGACAGTTGCAGTTTTCCCTAGCAGCTGTTCAGAAAACACTTTATGCACAAATGTGAAAAACACTTGTGAGTCAAATGAAGGCACGAAAGCTGTCACAGCAGAACTCGTTTGGCGGGAGTGCCCAAAGGCTAGGTGTTCCAAAATTTATTTCTTATTACTCATAACCCATCCCAAGAAGCAATTAAAGTAAACATCCGAAGAGTTTTCAGATGCTGGAGTAGTTCAAAAAGCACCAGCAATTCAAAGCTGTGAGCTTCAATCTACCCTGTTTTGAGTATGAAGGTAGCTGAAAATTTTCAGGTTTACATTCTTAAAACCTAGTAAAGCAACTGCACATAAGAATCTGGCACTGCTGTACACCCAGGACTTAACTACAATACAGCAAGTTAGGAGTTTATTGTTCTTTTTTTTGTTGGAGGTGTAGGGGAGGGCAGGAGAGGGACAGGGCAAGATCAGATCTGGTTTCCTCAAGAACTTCCTCCAGAGTAAGGAAACATTCAAAGACTGCAGAGTAAAACATATTCTCTGCATTTCAGAGGCAAAGCCACAGGCAAAAATGGAGAAATAAAGCAAGTCTCAAGTCCACTTCCAGGTAGTCTGAGTGGAACACAAACAGAAATGAATCAATGATTAAGCGTGTTGCGTAAATAAGTTTATCTGTAAAAACAAACAAAACTTGTTTTAGCGCATTTGGGTAGGAATACTAGCACACTGTGTTGAGTAACAGCTTCACTGCTGCATCAGACACATAAGACTCAGAGGGAAATGCCTCCACAACAGTCTTAATATATCTTTTTAAAGTTAAATTAGCTACTCATAGTACAGCTTAGAGCCAAACAGAAAGCTTTAAAGGCCTACATAAGACTTTAGCAAAAGAGCTGGGAATATCAAGTGACACTATCTGAGTAACACTGGAGAGCTGGAAACACACCTCTGCCTTCAAAAGGCTAACGGGAATTCTGATGGTGCAGAATTTGCATTTAGTACAGAAGTATACATTGGGCCAAATCAGCATTTTGCCACAGAGAAGCCCCATGCCTATGAGGTGCTTAAGGCTGTCGGGATGCAAAGTGCATTTGCAGCTACTTAAAAGCACTTGACTATTGCTCCTCCAAGTGACACAACACGTGAGCACGCCCAGGGCCGCTTCAACTCCAAGTGCAGCGCACGATGTGTTGTCTTTGGAATCATCTCTCCCAACCACAGCCACACGTTGTGGTTGCAGTTTCTTCTTGTGGCAGCTGTGTGCTGCCGATAGAATAAGCAATAAGAGGGGGGAAAAAAACCAAATTCCAATAAAACTGGGACAACTTCTACTAGAAGCATCTTAAGGGAAGTTTTAAGCATGGAATTTCTCTTTGTGGGATAAACAATACCACTGGTATTCCAGTTATTTCCCGGTAACTGGAAAGATAAGTGTGTTTGTGTCTAAACCTCCCCGTGCATGAGAAACATGTTTCAGAGCACATTTCTAACCCGGGAACATCACAGGTCACAGCAGCTTTAGAAGGAGAGGCAGGACAAAATGAAAAGTTTATCTGAAGGATAAATCAGCAACAATTATAAAATAATGTTTGAATAAACGCATTAGAAGACTCAAGTACAAGCGGTGAGTTTTATATTAGTGATGTAAGCCCATGCTGATCACCGTGCCGGTAGAATATTTGTCGACTACAGAAGCAAGCTATGGGAGAACTTCTGTGTCCACGCAGGGCTTCAATTTAACTTAGGCTACAACTTACACCACTGACTTGGATACTCAACAGCTTTGTAATGGTCAGGTTAATACACAGCATGGTAGTACTTGAGAAAAACTCTAGCAGGCAACTATTTACATAAAATATTAATAGGTATGGGAGCCCTATCAGGCCTGATTGCAAACCTTTCATGTTACACAATAAAATAAACCCAGGCTTACAAGCACTGCTCATCTGCATAACTTCTGAAGATCAAGACTTACAAGACTGGCTTTTTCTTTGGCTATTTGTTTTTGTTCTTCTAATTTCAACTTCTCACTCAGAGAGTCGTTTTCACATTTTAATTCATTGATTTTTTTCTGCAATGAAAAGATGCAGTACAGTTAGGGCAAGAATTTGGTGCACACCTCCAAACAGCATTTTAAGCTTCAGACTACTGCAACGACCCCAGGCCTACTAACCTCTAGTAATTCCTGCTTCTCCTTAAAGGAATCTTCAAGCGATTTCCTTTCAGATTCATGAGCACTCTTGAGCTCTGCAAGAAGTTATTTGTGCATATTTTTAATACCGCGTAAGACATGAAAATTCTTTTTGAAAATAAGCAGCATGGAAATCCAGGCAATACACGTGTACGCATACCCATTTCATTAGTTGACAGCCTGTCAACTGTGAAAGCATTCATCTGTGTGTAACAAATGGATGAACTGAGCACAAGAGCCACATCTGACACAAGCTGAGTTTTGGAAGGGAAACACAGCAAAACCTGAAATTGTGTCTTCCACAAGCAAAAGTATCACTGGAAACTTGGTATCAAGGGGAATTGGAGGGAGGATGGAAATCATCATCTCTTAAAATGAATTGGATGCAATGCTGCTTAAATGTAAGCGCACTCATCTCTCCCTCCCTGAAAAACCACCTTTGTCCCAGTACACTGTAAGCAGCACGAAGGATTTCTCAACGCTGCCATGTCACTCTGGAAAGCACACAGCCCTACTTCTCCTCAGTTTCAGCTGGGAGGTGCTCTTTATAGAAAGCTGGGGGGGTGTGAGCAATTGCTCATTAACTTGATATTTTGAGGGCCGACTGCAATTCAGACACCTTTTACTGAAAGAAAAGGTCATCTCCACTCTTAAACTATTTTCAGTTTCATTCAACTACAATGGGATCATGATTATTTCTGTATGTAAAGCAAGACCTGTTCAGTTCCAAAAGAAGGAATTCAGCCAACATTTTTAAAGATAGCTGACCGCCAAGAACAATCAAGTGAACATACTGATGAAATATTTTTGTTTTGAGAGTACAGCACACATATCTGAATACAAAATACTTGCCTGAAAAAGAGGATTCATACTCCTTTTTCAGCTCCTCCACTTTTTCAGAGTGGTTGTTCTCAAGTTCCAGCTTGTAGTTTTCATGTGTGATGTTTAAGTTGTCCACCTGCAACATGACAACATGATTTTTCCTCCCCTACACGTGTCAACCCTTGTTTAAAATATTGTCCCAATGACTTTATGCAGTACTTGAAGCACATTTTAAATGGTCTAGGCAGCACTTAACAGATGGTCATAGGAGAAGCTAAGCCATATCCAGGACTTACTAGATGAGAACGCTGCTTTCGTTTACCGCTAAAAACAGGATAATGTAGGCACTGGTTGCACACATGGAGTTGCTGCAAAGCAAGATCACAGACCAGGCACGTTTCTAGAAATCATGAAACTCAAGCTGCCTCAAATACCCAGTGGAGCTCTAGAAGCCATTGATGTTTGCAGAACACAAGGAATCTCCACCAAATTTAGACAAAAGCTTAAGACCTGGACAGCTTAGTGTCGTAGCATTTTTATAATTGCCAACAAAGCTGAGTTTCACATTAGGTAATAACTCCATTATTAGCAAACCCTAAAATTCTCCAGAGACTCATCTGTAGCAGAAAGCAATTGCTAGAGAACACTGCCACTTCAAATGCTACAGACCTGCTCCTGGAGTTGTGCTTTGTACTTTTCAGCTTCTTCAATGCAGATACTTTGGAGTTTCTCACACTCTGCTGTGTAAAACTGTTTCAGTCTTTCCTCCAGCTCAGCTAAATCATTGTGATGTTGCTGGTTTAACTTCTGCAGAAAACCTTCATACGCAACTTGCAGTTCATTCCTGTCTCTCTCCAATTTCTCACAAGCTGCAGTAGTGGTTACTGAAGATGTGAAAAGAAAAAGAAATAATTGGATCAAGCTCAATGCTAATTTCACTGTCTTCATTTCAGGTATTAAAGATAGTGAAACACTCTTCAAGCAGCATGGTTATTCAAAGAGAAATATAATCTATCCTGTCACAAAGATTTTTGCAAAAAGTACTGAATTCAGTGCTTCTTCTGCTGAGAATTAATTGAACCTAGTTAAGCCAGGAACCCATATAGAAAGCACAAGCGTGACAGTTTGTCATGACACAGAAGAATGAATGTCTCACTAGAGACACTGGAGTGCTCCAGTAAAAAAATTAATTGGATTTGCTACTTCACCTAATTTGATCCCATTTCAGCAGCGTATTTTTTAGAGTACTTCACTTTTTGATATACAAACCACTTAGCTAAATTTGAAAGTCTTAATATCCTGAAGACTATCCACTCAACATGTTGCACTCAGATATGAAGCAGAAAAGCAATTCTAGCCTGACACAGACTGCCTGATACAGAACTGCCAACCTGAAACGTGCTGCTAATATGCACATGCTCAAGATATTTAAATATGCAAGAACAGTTTCACATAGAGGGTGCAGAATATTTAGAAAACAAAGAAGTGCTGTGTAATTCCCTTTATATTAACATAGATCTGGATTTGTCTCCCCATATTTACAGCTGATTAAAAAGCAAAACAGAAGTTCGAAACTTGTACTTTTCAGTTTGAAATGTAGCATTCCCAACTCCAGTCAGACCAGCTCAAATAGGAGGAGTCATTTTCCAGCCGTGAATATGACTGGAGCAAGTGCCTTACGCAGTTCCAGAGCCTGGAAGCAACGTGAAACAGGACCTCTAACACAAGCACGTGGTCACTAACCTTAAGCAAAACTGCTTCTACCCAGACTGTAGTGCTTTAGTTTAAAAAAAGTTAGTCAGACGAGTGGTTACTTAGGAGAAAAATCAACTAAAATGTTAGCTTGATCTTCAGCCTCCATATAGTTTATAGCAGCTTGGCACACTGCCCAAACAGCATAAATATAAACTCTGTGTAAAAGCATGGGAGGATTCAAAGATTTTTGTACAGGCAGTACAGGAAATTCTCACCACAGCTGTGTTTAAGCCTCAAGACATATAAATTGCAGTATGTTCAAGGGCTGATTCCCAAAGCAGTACTGGGCTGGGCTCTAGGGAAAGGAGCCTGCCCCAGCGGAGTGCCTTAAGTTACACCCATGTCGGACTCCCTCCTCTAAGGCTCGTCAGGAGCAAGAAGCTCAATGGGTGATACTTGCTCTCTTTTAAGGGAACTGTAAAGAAGTCTTGGCCCTGCTGCCATCACTTGGAACTCACGGCCAAACTAGAAAGCATTAAGAGAGTGAGCGGCACTGCACAGAAATCAACCTGCCTGTGTGTCTACCTGAGTTAGTTTCAGGAGCAGGCTTAGCTCTGCGCTAGGCCTGTGTGATAGATCTGCTGATCAGGACAGATTTCAGCCAAGCGGCTCATCCCGTGACTGGCAACGATGCAACTAAATGCTCAACTGAAACGTACCACAACATTCTCTGCAACCCAAGCAGATTTCACAGTTTTCTATACTTTCTATACCACCACCAAGAAAGAGTTTTATTTCCCTACCTTTATTCCTTCCACAAATTTCTATCATAACTGCTCCCTTTGCAAAAGAATTAAAAAAAATAATTAGCATTTGCATGTCTACTGCATCACATTGGCATGAAGCTATTGAATATATATGCTCTATATTGTCACATTTTGGGGGAAGAGGAAACATGACAGCTAGGGGACATTATTCTGTAATGCAAAGAACCAGGCATTGAGCCAAACAGGGACCTCCCACAGCCAACCCCATGCAGAACGGGTCTGACCACCTATAGCAGAGTAAGAGGGGTACAGCTGTGAGGCAGGCAACTCACATGCCTCGTTGGAGATAACTGCAGCGAAATGCTTCGAAGGATCCACTTCCTTCAAGACCAAACAGAGGAAAAAGCAAGCATCCAATTATTTATTTGTAAGGCCAGAGCCAGTCATTTGCCTCCATTTAGCTTAAAGAATGTGCTGCCTATCCATCTTGTCTTTAAATGTCAGCAAGAAGAATGCCAGGATAATGCAGAACACTTCAGAAAAAAGCAAACAGCAAACCACACCTTTGTCAAAGAAAACAGACACATCAGTTTCTTGTTCAGCCAGTTTGCAATTCAGATTTATGAGAAGACTTACTGTTACAAAGGCAAACAAAAACTTATAAAACTTGCATTGGCAGATGAACGTTGTGTTACCCTGAAGGTAATGTCTGGCCTTCACAAAGCCGGAGGCTGCAATGCTTCCCTGCAGATTGCACACCTGACTTCAGTCCTTGCCATCCAAACCAGGAGCAGAACCAGCAGTGAGCTCCCAGTATCATGGTGGTGCAGGAAACCACACGTGAAGTTCTAGCAAAAGCATTGACAAAAACTGTCAATTTGAAATTAAGAGAAGTCCAGTGAACCAAAGTTTGTTCCCATACTCAAGATTCAAGTGTCTGCAGCAAATATTTTGCACAGCCCTATCCATCTCCAGTTTGAATCGTGTATTTTATGGCTGTACACTGCCTTTTTTTTTTCCTTTAAGAAAGGGAAAAGCCATGAAAAAGGCAGCTAATTCCTTAGTTTAACCATTCATCCACTGTAAGGGGATACTGCAAAACTCCTGACTAACCAAACTTGATAACTACTCAACTGACAGAACTGGTGCTTAATTCTGAAGAAATATTTGTAACTGGAACATGTAGCACACACAAAAATCTCCATTTCAACTTCTCATCCACTTCAGAGAGACCTGAAGGGCATGCTCCAGAGCTTTTGTACACAACTGCTGTGCTTCCTCTGCCTTCTTAGAGCATTTCCTTCCACAATCCCACATCTTCACTACACCATGCATTAAAACAGACCACAGAGCTTGAGCATAAAACCCAGAGACAAATGGTCCAACAGCATTTGAAAGGAAACCCAAGCCACTGAGCTGAAAAGATGCGCTATCCATTTGTCCACTATGTTTGTTCAATCTCATCTGTAACACTAAACAGTTCTAAGAATAGAGCACATGGAATGGTGCATGTAGCAGCCAGAAGCAAGATTTCTTTATCCAAACAGCAAAGCCATTAATATTTTTCCCCTCACTTGGTTGTCCCAGCCTCAGCTCCCAGTCACACAACACTGTCTCTCCCTATATTATTAGAACACGGAGCAAGACTTATTTATTTCTAGGCTTCTTAGCAGCTGGTTATTATAAATGAAGAGTCTGGTGGTTCTGGGCAGAACCATGACCTCTGGCAATCATGAGAAGCTTCTGAAATTTGGTAACAGGGTACCTACAGATCAGAAATGCTGATTTTTGGCACGTAAAATTAACATTCATCTCTAGTAGCTAACAGTGGCCACTTGCATCTTGGGTATTTCATCGCAAAGCTTTCTGCATGTCAGAACTAGAGAACAACTGCCCGTAAAACAAAAGTCGGGAGAACCGGGCACACGGCACCTCCCTGCGACTGCGGAAACTGCAGCAGATTCAAACCACACAAAAAGTAGCACCAGGTGAAGGAGAGGACTACAAAAGTCTTATCTGGGGATGCTACCAAGAAATCTATTTCATATTTTCATCAAAAAGAGCCAAGAGCTAAGACCTTAAATTGTGCAACAGCTCTTTGTTAGAATTTTTTTTCCTTATTCCAATTATAAAACAATTTATCATCCAATCGAGTCCTCATGGCTAAAATGATTACATAAGAATTTTTTTCAACTCACATTCCCCTAAAAGTCATCATAACCATAGCACTAAGAAGATAAAACATCATGGATCTTTTTTCTTGAATCCTAAATTAAATTGTTTGGAAACAAAAGTTATTCTCATAAAATTGTCTAAGTCATTCACTGATCTAGTTATGATTTATGAAAAGCCATTAGACTGTCTGTCATTTTGAAACAGAGGTCACTAGGACAGTAAACAAGGAGCATTTTAATAGATATGGGGGATGTGAAAACATCAGAAAATATCAAGTATTTAGCATGGTCTTATGTCATGGTGCATAACACTTTACTGCTTTAATGTTACATTTCACATTGCAAGATCTATTGTTTATATTCTATTAATCAGTAAGTCTGCTGTAGACACAACTGCTCATTTCTTTCTCCATACGTATTTTTTTTTTAAATTGTTATCTACTAATGAATTCATTCTCAGTATTGGAAATTCTTCTACCCAAATATGCTTTCAAGCTTATGACCAAGTTTCTCTTGGTGTTATTTCTATAACAAGACTAACAATACAGGACATTAAGCCACAATTCCTATTTTTGTTCTTGGGCAAGTAGAAATGAGGCAGGGAGACCAAAAAAAGCATGCTTTAAATGACACTTAAGTGACTATGGCTAAATACATACATGAAGTATGTACCTATCCTCTAACACTACAAGCACTCCAGTGCCAGTGGGCAGCATGTGTGCAACTCACAGCAAGTCAGACCCTGCCCCAAGTACTTAATATTAAGCAGACATTTCTATCAAGCATTTTTAAGGATCAACATAACCTGAGAAGCAAATCACACTCACCCCATCCACCTGCAACACACAATAGTCTTTTTTATTTTATCCCAACCTCCAAACCACTTGAAAAGTCATTCATTTACAAAAAAATAACAAGAAGGTATTTCAAAGAAAATATTTTTTAGCAACGGCAATGTGGCAAACGTGGGGAGGAGAGAGTGGCAAAGTGTCTGGCCATAGAGGATTCACGGGAGCCCCTCCAGCCCCCTGAAAAAGACTCAGGAAAGGCAATTTGCAAAGGGCCAAGGCTGGCTTGGGCTGAGTCAGCTTTGCACCTGCTCTTTTGTAGCAGGGCTGAGCTGGACCGAGGCCAGCCCCCTTGTAAAGAGACTACGAAACAGTTTGGAGAGCAATTAATTTAGAAGAGTAGTTTCGTGCCTCCAAAGAAATATGCAGCTCTTGCAATTTCTACTGACGTAATTAAACCAGTAACTAGCAATAATTTATGCACTGGCTTGTATCTTAATGAGAAGGGAAACAGGTGACAAACAGGACATCCATACCTTCTTCAGGCTCCCAGAACTAAGGCATTTACATTAAAACCACTTTAGTCTTTGTGGCTGGAGATTTTAAAGAAAGCCAGGTTCAGAACCCAACTGCTAATGAATTTGAACTCTTTTGCAAAAGCCCATCCCCAAACACATTCACAGAATCATAGAATGTCTTAGGTTGGAAGGGACCTCAGAGATCATCTAATCCAACCTCTCTGCCATGGGCAGGGATGCCCTTAACTGGACCAGGTTGCTCAAGACCTCATCCAGCCTGGCCTTGAACATCTGTAGGGAGGGCATCCACAGCCTCTCTTGGCAATCTATTTGAGTCTTGCCACCCTTGTACTGAAGAATGTATTCCCAAGATCCAATGTAAATCTATTCTCCTTCAGTTTAAATCCATTTCCCCTTGTCCTATCGGTGGACACTCTTGTAAAAAGTGCCTCCCCAGCCTTCCTATAGGTTCCCTTCAGGTACTGGAAAGCACTTACAAGGTCCCCCCGGAGTCTTCTCCAGGCTGAACAATCCCAGCTCCCTCAGCCTGTCCTCGTACCAGAGGTGCCCCAGCCCCTGGATCATCTTTGCAGCCCTTATCATCAGCCCTTAGCATTATCATTGCTAATCGTCATGCATGGTTCCAGCTACTAAGAGCAGAAAGCCGAGTCTGATTTCTGGGCTCATAACATACATTTAAATCATGACATGAAAAGGTACTTTGGTGGAAAGGGTCACACAGAATAACCCAGGAAAACTGACAATTTGACAGCAAGCCAATTTGGTTTCACAAGGTAAACCAAGGAGCTTGAGAGCGCACAATTAAACTTCAAAGCAAAAAAACTGAGGAGTCCAAATTGCCCGGGGTGCAAGCTGCAGGAAAGTTCATGTTCCTCTCAAATTCAGCAACATGCAGCACTGGGATGGCACCAAGCTGGGCAAATCTGGTTCCTCATCCCGGCCTGCCTGCTCCTAAACTGCAACTCAACCTGCACCAAAACCAGGGCAGCTAGGACTCCCTGACACATGTCCATAGGGCCAAAATGAGAATCAAACTGTACTTAACTTTCTGACTCAGCCTGTGCCTAGATCACACTGTGAATCAAAATTCACAGGACTTAGTCAACATAGCCTGTGGAAACCTTAAGTTCAGCTATATCCATTTAACAGTGGCAGAAGAAAGCTGATTAGCAGGTGTGTATTTAAATAGATTATTTTCAGCTAAAGCAACTGTTACAAGAATGCTTTTCTTACACCTTGTCAACAAGCAAGGTCTGGCTTATTTTTTCTTAATTTTTATTTTCAAAACAAATCTTTCTAAAGCCAGATGGAATTGAAGACCTGTGTGGTTTTTCATTTCTGTGATTAAATCCACACCCTTTACTTGCTGCAGAGAGAAACACAGACAGGCTAGACGTGTGACGTGGTTGAGACAAAGGAGCTGCATGAAGGGAAAAGCTTCACTGAAACCACGGTCTGGAAATCTTACAAAGGGAAGCGAGCCTGAGGCTGCCATTTGGATGCTTCTGCGGAGCTGACCCAGTAAGATCAGCTCCGTGAGGGGAACGGCTGACGACCTCATCCAGCAGCACTCCGGCCAAAATCCCTGGCTGACAGCTCTGTGCATTCAGGCATCGCAGATCCATCAAGTTCAGTTGCATTTAAAGGTTTTTTTCCTCCTTATCACCCTAGTGAATGTCATACTCTTGCAAGGAGAGCCCCACAGACGAGCTCAGCAGGCTGTTACAGTCAGACCAGGAAGGTAACAAGGTTATGGGAAGCTCATTTAAAAGTGGAGCACCCTCAGAAAAAATTAAGCTTTCAAAAAAAGCCAAAACAAAACAAAGCAACCCCAAACAAAGCCCACACCCAAAAACTAGTAATGGGGAAAAGTGATGGCTAGCTTTTGGTCTGCCCATCTGAGCTGAATCTTCCCTCTCCTGGGAAGTGATAAAAACAGTACCTAGGCTGATAAATGAAAACTAATTGGGGAAGATGTAAGCACATAGAAGAGCAGAGACTTTCTTGCTCCGACAGCAATCCTTCTGAAGGCATTTTCACAATAAGGTAAAAAAATGAGTTTGCCCAGAAAGTCACACATATGCACATGAAAAAACAGTAATAATACAGTTTATAACATTTATAATTCAACTTCGTAGTAACGTAAGAAGCCCATTTCCACACCAAGACTGTAGGTTTGCTGTTGTCAGTTTAGGCTGCAGCTAATGGGGGCCACAAGCCTCTGCCCTGCTGCTCCTTCCCTCTCTTTGCTCCGGCAGTGGTGCTCCTTCAGCCCATGCTGAGCTTTGGCAAAACCAGCACTTTGAGCCAAATTTTCAGCTGTTTTAAGTCCCTGCGTTGGGTCACCGCATGGCTGGCTGGGCTGCAACACTGGCCCAAGGCGGGACAGAGGAAGGCAAAGGCAGAGGGAGGCTCTTTCCAAGCCAGCCCCTACCAAGATCTGCCTGAAACAACCACAAAACCACAATCCAGGTGCTTCATCGGGAGGAAGGTTAAAAGATGCAGCTTGATGCAGATGCTTGAAAAGATGCTAGACTGCCTCAAACTCTAGAAAAGCCTCAGCTTTTTAGTACTAAGCTTCCAAGAAAGAAAATGCTGTGTATTTTCTGCAGTGTTGTTGTCACTCCCATCTATGTTTTCAGGCTGCAAGGTTTTCTCCACTTGTGATGCTCCCCATTCACACGTTAGCAGTTTTATGCAGCTTCAGATAAAAGATTCCAGAAAGCTGTATTTTAACATAACCCTCTAAATCGGACGACAGTAATCGTGACAAGTGGGGAAGCTGTTGCTTCAGCTGGGGGGATGGGGAGACCTCTCCCTCCCCACCACACTTCCAACTCTGAGTAGTTGCCAGCAAATGCCTGCCTTATTAATCAGTGCTAAAACATCAATCTTAACATTAAATGCACCACCTGCATGTAGCAAAACACACATTCACACTCAAGTTTAGCTGAGGCAATGCTCAACTTTCAAAGCATTCGAAAATAAACATTTCCAACTTTTCAGTAGTAAGTGACGTATCTGAAACTGCTCCACACATACTACTTCTGCTTTCAAAGCCTTTTTTTTTTCTTTTTAAAGGGGCTTCATCATAACAGAAGTGTGCTTTTATAAAATGCTAGCTTCACTTTCAAGTGCTACCATTTTTGATCCAGTGACCTTTTGCACTCCAGAAGATGATTCTGCTTTGAGTTCAGACAAATTAGATGAAGTTACCATTAAACACAGTTAAATTAAGCTTCAAAATTGGCAAAACCAGCCCCTGCACATTATAGATCAAATCCGTATTACAGCTGTCCACTAGGATGAATTCAGAGATTTAATCTCATTAGCCTGATAGCATTTCCTTCTATTAATTTTACACTCATTCACCTATGAAACACCAAGGCAAAATGCAGATTTTGTGCAGCGCCCATAAACCTCTAGAAGACAGCACACAAACGTGTTAGGGATCAAACAGAAGTATGTATACTGTGAGCCATACTTCTGTTTTTAAGACAGTGAGTGCTTTGGTCATCAGACACATGTTTTGAGAGGAGGCCCTGCTCGGCGCAGTCAGATCAGTGCCAGGAATTCGGTGAACCTGGGGTCACGCTGTCAGGGCTCCAGAGAAATGCAGCGATTAAAGCATCTGAGCAGAATTCAGTCAGGGAATTAAATGACTGCCATTACAATACCAGGGCATCTGTCTTTCTGCAAATCTGGTTTGCTGCATTTCTGTTCTCACGAAGAACACAAAAATGATTTCTTACCTAGTTCTCCTCGAAGGTTAACTAGTTCTTGAGATAACTCCTTACGCTGTTTCAGTGCTTCCTCCCTCTGTAGAGAAAAAACAAGAACAAACAAATCCAAACGTTTGGTTACTAGTGATCTGAGCAGGGCACCTTCCAATAATTAACTTATATGTGTTCTGTAAGAAAACAAGAGGCAGGAGCAAGAAGCCAAGATATGAATCATTTAGGATAACAGTTCTGCTGTTACAAAATACACAGATGTTCTTCTGTTGTTAAGGAAGTTTTACTCGGAAACAAAGAATAGCTTTTTCCAGGATAACACTGCAATTAAAATCCTACTTTATAGCAATTAATTATATATTTTATGATGGGTGTAGCAAAATAAGCCTCCAGAACAAATCAGCTGATATCTATCAAGGGCACAAAAGCATGGTGTACATATATGAAAGAGGCATGCATTAAATATTTATCTTAAGCTTACTCAAACACGTAACCAAAAAGTTTGCTAAACACTCAGTCTTCCACAAAGGAAAGGGACAACCTTGTTCAAAGTTGAAAATACAACCCGCCCTCCTGCTTGCAGCTCTTAAGACAGATGATGTTTCTTATACTGAGAGAATTATAACAAATTTGTGCTCAAGAGGAGCACAAGCATCTAAGCCAGGGGAAGGTGGCTGACCAGGCTCCTCTGCCCTCAGCTCTGCACCCCAAGGAGAAGCCACAGCAGAGACACCCCAGGAACAGCCACAGCAGAGCTGCTTCAGGGTCTCTGAAATCA